TGAGGAGATTTTCCTGGGGAATTTAAATGCCACAAGGTATTCTCAGCTTAAAAATAGCAGCGTGTAGGTTGAAATGAGTAGCTGAGAGGTATGTGCTCTAGGTTGGGATTTAGGAATACAGATGTTCCCAGATTTTTAAAAATGTACTTTTTCTGATTTAAAAATTACCGTGCTGAGGCTCAGGACCGCATAGTTTGTAATTATAATCATTATGTTATTCAAAGCAGCTTTAAGAATCTCCTGATAACCGCTGGAAATTTTAAGCAGATATTCTTTATAGCTGCACAGATCCCTTCTCTGTGCTCTTCCTTCTGTATCTGCCCAGATTTGGTTGCTATTACGAGAAATGTATATTGAAATGGTGTAAAAGCATCCCAGATCCAGCAGGATGTGAGCCTGGCAAGCTGTCAGGTGATGCTGTCTGGCTTTTTGTGGACTTTTCCTATTATTTCCCTTTCTTGCTTTCTAGCTTTCACTGAGTTGAAATGATTAATAACAGCCACCCGATTATTACCTCGTGATGCCTCTTGCTCGCTGTTCCTGAAGTGCTTCAGCCTCTTCTTGTGTCTCCTCCTCTCCTTCTTCCCCTTCCCCTTTTCACCACAAGCACCTTCAAGTTTTTCCTAACTTTCCCTTTAATAACCTATGCCTTTCTTCCTTTCTTTTTTCCTTCCAAACCCTTCCATATAATTAAATTCTGTTTGTGCAGAGCAGGTTTCTCAGGCCAGTTTTGAATTTTCTTGAAATGAAGCACAGCCCAGGTGAGTGCCTGGGGCTTTACTCAGCTCTGCAGGCTCCTGGGCAGGTTTGGAGCCCCCCAGCCCCTGCTGAGATGGAAATCCAGCTGCTGCCACTTCAGCTGGGCTCACTGCCTGTGATGGTGGCAGAACTTTCCTATTCTTCCCTTCCTGAACCCTCCTTTCCTTTGGATTTTTCCTTCCTTTCACCTCCCCTCGGTAGAAAACTTCCCAACAGCTTTGCTGATCTATTTCTGGCCCAGTTCTAAGCTTTTAAAGCTCTGTTCTCCTTCCACAGGGTTCTGGTAATGTCTCTTCAGATATTTTATGGGCACAAGAGTCACCTTGGTCCCCTTTTGTGTTTCTGAGCGTTCTCTGAGGCTGTGCTGCCAGGTTCTCCCTCTCCTGGGGAGTTCCAGCTCACCTGGGTGTTCATTTTGGGATAAACTGATCCATTTTTGGGCTCCATCTCTTTCTTCTGTGCCAAAGGAGTCCCAGCCCTTTACATCCTTGCCTTGCAGATCTTCAGCATCTCAGTTTCAAACCCTGCACATTTTCTGTCCTGTGAGGTTGAGCCTTTGGCCACCACACAAGTTCAGAGGTGGGGGAGAAAAGAGCTCCATATTTTACACTTGTTTACCTCTCTGGATTTGGATTTTCTGACAGATAGGGCCTCTGTTAAATGTAATTTAAGATGAGAACATCACAATTCACTGTCTTGGAATAAAACCCTGCCACAAATCACATCTGCATATTAACAACTCTTTTGTGATGCTTTTCACTCAGTGCATTTCAGTAAAAAGTCAGACAGATTTTTGGGCAGCATTGAGAGTCACGTGCTCCCTGTGAAAGCAGAACAGCAATTTTATACCTCACCATGAACTTTTCAAGCTTATGTGAACATTTTCACTAAATATTAGATGCTTTAAACTCAGTTTTGCTACTTAGGGGTATTAATATGATGTATTTCATATATTTCATGTATTTCATGTATTTTATTAATATTTCTCATTTTTTCACAAAGGTCAATACTGGGTCACTCAGCACTGCAACAATGACAGATTATCTAAATATAGAGTTAAGAAGTTTGTGTCTTTTCCCCCTATAAATACATTAAGTTTCTTCCTGTAAATCCATATAAATCTTCCTATAATTTCTAGAAAAGCCACAACAGCAGAAAATAATAATTAAAAACCCAATTGTTTTTCCTGAGGTATATAAGAAAACATTAGACAGCCTCAAACCAATGGAGATGCAGGTTTCCTTTATTTTTTTTTTCCTGTTAAAAGTAACACCTCTGAAACAGTTTGGAACCAAAACCATGTAATTCAGAAAATGGTTCCTGACAGATGGAAACTTGTAAAGGGCAGAGGTTGCATTTTAAAATCCTGCTTTTCATATTTAAAAAAAATCTGCTTGGAAATCTTGCTCTTGTAAGAAGCAGAGAGTTTTCTGCTGGAGTTTATTCCTATATCAAAGAACATTTCACATTGATTTATGTAGTGCTTTTATCCCATCTCCTTTCTGTGATGTGTAAAAAGCAAAGGCAAAATTTTGGGAAATTCTGAGGGTCTGATTGATTTCTCAGTGTCCCATAACCTGGGCCAGGGGATCTCTGGGGTTTTAGAGAGGCCACATTGAATCTCAACTGTTAATGACTCAAAACTCCAAAAATCAACTCTGAATTTCTTCCATTCCTCTAAAAGACTTCAGGTCTTGATGAGGTCTAGCAATTAATTTCTCTACTCTTAAAATTCCTTCAAACACCTCTCCTCTACCTGAATTTATCATTGTCAGATGAAATGAACAGGGAAAAAAAAAAAAAGATGCATTTGAAATCTTGTTGTTTTCATTGGGTTGTGGAGGATTGTCTCAGGATTTTAAATCATAAGCATGATTTTTTATTCAGTGTGGAAGCCTGTCAGATTTAGGGACACTTTCCAAGAGCTTGATCTAAGTTCAATCTGTTTCCTTCAGATTTTCTTTCATTCTTACAAACAATTTTTTCAGCTGGAATAAAACAATTTTTTCAGTTGAAAAGTGAATTATTTTATTTGATTGCTCTTAATCTATGAGGTATCTCCAGGTAATTCCTTTTATGTTAATGATAATATCTTCTATTATTTGCATGCTCCATGGTACCATTTATGTGAGCGTGGAGATCAGTTCTGACAGCACAAACACAAAATTAACCTCATTGCTCAGGTCAAGGAATATATTTATTTTTTACTTGATTTTGCTATTTTTATTTTTATTTTTATTTTTATTTTTATTTTATTTTTATTTTTATTTTTATTTTTATTTTTATTTTTATTTTTATTTTTATTTTATTTTTATTTTTATTTTTATTTTTACTGAAGGGTCTTGGAAATATTACCCTGCACCAGCTCTTTGTAATCTTGTACAAGCTGGACTAAATTTCAACCATAAGAAAAGAAAATAAAATCAGTATTTGACTGGCTAGACCAGGCCATGTTTCTTTTGTGAGGAATAGAAGAGGAGGTTTGCTGTTAAAAAAAGAAAAATATTCATCATATTTAATTCTAAGTCATATCTAATGCAAAAGAGAGAGTGAATTCTGGTGTTCTATCTGCTGAAACAGAATTACTCGCACTAGGAAACCACTTAAAACAATCAATACAAAAGTGACTCTGTTGGTTTGGCAAAGGAATTTAAAAGTCTAACACTGCCCAATTAAGAGGATCAAAGTTAAACAGAACAAAATTCTTTAGTCCTTCCCCAGATCCCCATTCTGCCGCAGGAGGAAGGTCCAGGGTTGGATTTTGAGTTCCATTTGTGGCTGGAGATGAGCAGCTGCAGGTCCTGAACTCAAAAGAGTTTCTTAATTTCTTCCTGGAGTGCTGTCCTGTGGTTTTGGGGAGGTTCTTGTGCTGAAGGGCCAGCAGTGGAAGGACATCCCTGCCAGGGCAGCCCTGTCCTTGGGAATCTCACTGAAAACTGCAGAGAACTTGGCTAAAAAACTGCTTCTTTTCATTTTCTTCCTCTCTGAGCGCCTGTTCAGGCTCATCTTTCTTCCTCTGACTTTTGGTAGTTCTGTTGTTGTTGTTCACATGCAGGAGTAATTACTCAGCTGGTTAATGAACCAGGATGCTCCTGTTTGTAATTTGAATATAGAAATCAGGCTGGTCCTTAATTCTCTCTAGTGAGAGGTGATGAATAAACCAAATTAAACTTTGGTCAGAGGTGGAAGGGAAGTTGCTGAACCCCCCCTGGTGCCTGGAAAAGTGATGTCAAATTCCAGCCTGGTCCCATTCTTCATGGAAAATGGAAAAAATTCTTCCCAGCTGCCTCAGGAGAGGAGGCTCTGCTGAGTTCTCCTCTCTCCCATCAGCTGGGATTTCTCTGGAACGTGTCCTTGGCTCTCCAGTGCTTCTCCCAGGTGCTCTTTCAGTAAGAAGGAGGACTCTGTTGCTTTCCTTTGGTGAATATTATCTAGGAAGGCTATTTAAATTTTAATTGCATCCAAGCTTGAAGTAAATAATTAACAGATGTATATAAAGTAGTTCAGAATTAACAGCTCAGGACAGAGTGATTCTCTTAATACCGTTTTGCTTGTGGCAGGAATAATGTACTTGCAGTTCTAGCAGCATCCCACTGCATTTCTCTGTAGGGAAGACTGGTGAATTAATATCAGGGAATAATTTTTACTCAGTGTTCCTTAATTATTTCATTATCAAATTAAAATGCTGATAAATTCAGTTTACCCCAGTATTTTTTTAACAAGTGTTCCCTATAAGTGTGTTTAGTTGAGAACACTTAGAAATTGTGTTGAAAATGGTTTAAAAAAATTGTGTTAAAATAGTTTAATTTAATCTGGCAGGGTGTTAATGTTAACTTAATGCCATTGATTTACATTGATTAATGTAATTCATTGTTTTTGTCTTTTCTGTCACTTTCAGTATTGTTCTTATTCTTATCCTGCAGGTTTTGGTGGTTCAGGTGAAGCTCTGAGTCCTCTGTCACATAACAGAGTTGGCTCTTTCTCTTTCCATTTGTTTAGTCTGGGTTCACCAAGGATGGGTTGCTCAGCAGAAAAATGAGAAGGATTAAGATTTCTGTCGACTTATTTAATTTTTTTCTTTTCCACTGACTTCTTTGTCCTTTTCCTCCACTCTGCCTGGTTTCATTAGCAGGCAGTGCTTGGAAGAGCAGCTCCATTCCCTCACCTTGTTATGCCACAGCAAATTTTATTGCTCGTGATGCACCCGACCTTCCCTAAACTGCTCCTTAACATCTCTGCAGGGTGTGGAACTGCAACAGGAGGAGCTGAGGATGAGGGGGAGGCCGAAGCTGGCTGGATTGAAGGTGCTGCCATCCTCCTGTCTGTCATCTGTGTTGTCCTGGTCACTGCCTTCAATGACTGGAGCAAGGAGAAGCAGTTCCGGGGGCTGCAGAGCCGCATCGAGCAGGAGCAGAAGTTCACCGTGGTGCGAGGGGGACAGGTCATCCAGATCCCCGTGGCAGAGATCGTGGTTGGGGACATTGCACAGGTGAAATATGGTGAGTGCACCACCTTTGGACCCTTGGTTTGCTCTGCTGGCCCCTCCCAGCAGGATGGACATGCTTCTCTGGCAGGGATGGGAAAGGCAGGATTGTGGCAGATCTATGGGACAGAAAAATCAGTATTGGCCATGGTGAGGTGACACCTGAGCTGTCAGGCATGGGAAAGGCAGGATTATGGAAGATTTATTGGACAGAAAGGTCTGTATTGGCCATGGTGAGGTGACACCTGAGCTGTCAGGGCAAAAAGGGAACCTAGGAACCTGCTGTGAAACTGCACCAGGAAATCAGTTTAACTGGTGTAAACTTCTTTCACTGACCAGGACAAGGACTGTTCATACAAAGGTAACCCTCTGTGGTGGAGGATTGCATTATTCAGATTTATTTCCTTTTATTTCTGTCCAGTTAGGGATAAGAAGAAGTATTTTTAAATGTTGTGTAGAAGGGAATTGGGCCTCTGTGATCACCTCACAAGATGCTCCAGATCCAGACCGATCCCCCAGTTCAGGTGCCTGATAATTCCATGCTGTAGGGAAAGCCCCGTGCTCCAGTGGAGTGAAAGGTCCTGCAGGACCTCTGGAGTGAGTTGTTAACTCCAGCAATATCCCTCTTCCAGCAGCCATCACATTTCTCCTGGGCTTACCTAAGGGCTTCCTGAGGGCAGCTCAGCTGCTAATTAGCTGCTGTTAATTCCTCTGAAGTCTGATGGAGAAACGTTCAGGTGATGTGAAGAGCGCTGCCCTGCCAAACCCCCCTGGTGGGGATGTCCATTGTGTGCTAAATGTGATACATTTGGATTTTGGGATAGCATTAAGCAGAAAATGGTTGCAATAAAAGGCCTTTCCTTGCAGGATTGCAATACTGTGTTTTTTGGGGACAGGTTCAGGAGTAATTCCTTCCCTTCTGCTTTCATTTCACCTTTTAATGCAAGTAACTGTGATTTGATAGCAAACCCCACCATGTCACTGTAAAAGCGATCTCATGGCGGTTTTCCATTGCCACCTTCTGACCACAGGTGACCTCCTACCTGCTGATGGGATCTTTATTCAAGGAAATGATCTCAAAATCGATGAGAGCTCTTTGACTGGAGAGTCCGACCAGGTCCGCAAATCCGTGGACAAAGACCCGATGCTGCTGTCAGGTAAAATCTGCCCCATCCCCTCTGAGCTCCTGCTCTGCCCTCTCCAGAGGTGCAGAGCCAAGCTGGAGCTGTGGTGGGTGCCTGTTTTCCTGGGAAAGCTGCTCTGGGAGCCTAGGAGCCAATGGCATTTTTTGGAGGATATTTTTATCCACCTTTGTCATCCAATTCAGGAGAAGATTTCCTCAGAACAAAACACAAGGATGCAAATAGCAAGCTCTTAATTAAAATGTATTTGGAATTAGTGACACATCTTAAAGGAGGCTCTGATAAATTTCTGAGGAAGGTTTCAGAGCTTTTCCTTTCTGACTGAACCAACCAAGTCTTTGCTGGTTTTTTAAGATCTTTTCTGATCTTCAGGTTTGAATGGAATTTATTTTTGGGGTTTTTTTGGGGGGTGTGGCTGGCCCAATTTGTGTTGTTTTACCTTTTACTCGCAAAAGATAAACTTGGTTAGTGACAATATTTCTTTTGAAAAGAGAATCTGATGGTGATGGATGTGCAGCCTGAGGTTTGTGCTTAAGCATTAATTCTTGGTTGAGAATAATGCACAACAGGGTTTATTTTGGTTATGTGGTAATATCCCCTTCAATATAGGTTTGCAAAGTGTAACAAATCTCTCTCAGTACTGTCAGGAAAGCTTTTTATCATTTTTTGTACATTTATTTTATCTCTGTGTAACCTTTCCTGCCTCTTTTCAGGCACCCACGTCATGGAGGGCTCTGGGCGGATGCTGGTGACTGCTGTGGGGGTGAATTCTCAGACTGGCATCATCTTCACTCTGCTGGGAGCTGGGGGAGAAGAGGAGGAGAAGAAAGACAAGAAAGGTAAATCTCCCAGCACCAGGATGCTCCAGAGAAAGCTCTTTGGGCTTTGTGCAGCCGGAGCTCTCCTCCGCTCTTGACAAATAAACGCGATTTTTTCAAAATGCCTTTTTATTTTTTATGACACATTTTTATCATCACATGTCACACAGAAAAACAGCAGAAGCTGTTAACCAATAAATCCATTGGATAACAAGATGTTTTTCCAGTGTGAAATTGCAGGCTCCCAGTCCATACCAAAATGCAGGGGAATACCTGGGCATGCTCCAGTTGCTGTGGCTTCTCTACATGAATCCATGCTCACCTACAGTTTGCTAAGATTTTGTGCTTTTCTATCAATTTAACTTTTCCCCTCCCCCCAGGAAAAACACCCCTTGGCCATGGAAATAGCATCTGTCCTGGAGCTTGAGGACTGAAATAAAGATAAGCTGTGGCTCTTTGCTAGCCTGGTTGTTTAATGTCAGTGACTGACTTGAGAGGCATTTTAATTTTTTTCAGGTGTAAAGGTTGAGCTAAGAATAGTAAAAGCCAAGAATGTAGCAGTAAATGTTAGCAGACAGTTTTACTTTCATGTCCTGTATCAGTTAATGAAATCAAGAAGCCTCTTTAGAGTTTTCACCTTATTACAGTGTGATGTCATAAGCATTTGCTAATTTATGAGCTGCACACTAAGCAGAAACATGATTTAATGTCTGTCCTTTCCAGTTTTTCTTCACACAGTCTTGTAAATTGTTCTGCTTCCACAATTTCATTCCAAGTCTGTCCTAAGAATATTTGTCTTTCAGGCATAATTAAGGGCCAATTAATACAGGTTTTTCAGACTTTTCTGCTCTTTCTAGTGGTTTTCACTATTAATAAAAAAAAGCAGTTAAAGCTTTACTGAACATTTTATTTGCTATCTGTCAGGCAATATGATTCCACCTTTTTTTTTTTTGTTTCCATCCTTTTATATGAAGCTCTGGATAGGAAGGCCAAATTCAAATGGTTTTCAGGACCTACAGTTTCCATTTCTGAGAATATTCAACCAGCAGCTGCCTTTGACTCCCTGCTGCTTTGAGGAAATCCCTTTTTGCTTAATGAAATGTTTATCATTTCATTTCTGCAGAGAAATGCACAATAGCTGCCTGGCACGGGGAGCTCCAGGAGAATTAAAAGGAGAAAGACTGAAACTTCACAAAGCAAAAAAACTCTTTTACACCAGACTAGTTTTGAGCAGCAGCTTGGGGTTTTCTCTTGCTGTCGTTCAGAGCCTGTGTGAGATGTGGAGGAGAGGAGGAGCAGCTTCACCCCTGTGTGATGGGAGAGCTCCCTGTGCTGGGTTTAACTGGGCTGGCCTCCCTAGGCTGTGCTCAAGTGCTTCTCCCAGGTTTCACTGGGAAGAGCCTGGAAAGGCAGGAAAAGAGAAATCAGGGAGCTTTCCCCACATTGTGGCTGTAACTTACCCAGAGACAGAGTTTCTTACAGAGGTGTGCTAGAATTTGGATGCAGACACAGAATTTAACTGAATATGGCTCTGTAGAAATAGCTATCATATAAAAAAATCCATAATATAGAGAATTCCTCCACATTTTCTGGTGCTGCTGGCAGCTTTGTGCCCGTGCCTGGGCAGAGCTGGTGGCACCAACTCAAATTGAAACCTCTGGTACATAAACCTGCAGCTCTCAGAAATCCTGTCCCTTTCAGTCCCCGTGGGTGTGTGCTTTTATTGTTCATTAACACTTTAAAAATCCTCGTGCAGGTGTGAAACAGGAGGAGGAACAGCAGCTTCCAGGTAGAGTAAGACTTGTACCCCATCCAATGGTGCAAATCAGGGGGGAACTGCTGATGGAAATAATCACCTTTGAATCAGTCAAGTTGAAATTAAAGAATGATTTCAAATCAACAAGATTGCTGGTGCCAAATCTTTTGGTGTGCAGGCATTGTTGGTGTTGCAAATCCTCAGGTTCAGCTGGAACAATCAGCTGCTCTCTAGAAGTAAATTGCAAAGTATTTAATGTGGAATACTTGATTTGCTGTTAGCAGCTCACGCTGTGCTGGTTGGGGTGGGGATCCAAACGGAATAAGGAACAAGCACGAGTCACCAAAACAGTTTAAATCATTGCCACCACAGCAATCAAATTTGCAATTGAAATTTTCCTGAATGCAGTTGCACAGGGTGTGTTTTTAAATCCTGGGAGCTGTTTATTTTCTTCTCCCAATTTGCCATTTGTAAATAAAATCAGCCCATTCTTCTGCAGTACCAGCCCAGTACAGCATGAAATAATCCCTGTGGGGCAAGGACTGGAGCAGTTGGAGAGTCTCAGTCAGAATTCAGGGGAGGACTTGGTTCTATTGTGAGCAATTAACCCCAGAAACAAAACAAAATACATTTTATCTGTTATTTGCAGAGACTAATTTTATTGCACTTTACTATAAAAAACAGAGTCAAATGATAAAACCTCCTTCAAGCTTTTCACCTTCCTATTAGGAAAGATTTCTTGTCCAATTTTCTCTAATATGGGGATAATTGCTGAAAGGAAGAAGAGGATTTTCTTTTCTGGTTTTTCTTTCTTGTCACCACAAACCAGGAAATGTGTCATGTCCATTCTCTGGATTTAAAATAACCCATTATTCTCCTCAAGACTACATTTGCCTTTTGAACATAAAATATAGGAAAATTCCATGTTTCTACTCAGATTAATGGGCCTTTTACCTGGGTGATGGCAGGACATGGATTGAGCCCTGTTAGACTGGGATGCATCAGTGATGATAAATCATAATGTGCACAATTATTTAAAACATAAAATATGTACCATTTTACTGTGTAGAAGCATATACATTTTTAAAAGCAAATTTTAAAGCTACCTATGCACTGTGTAAATTACTTCCAAAGGAAGTATTTCAACCACTTTAAAAATGCATAAATTACATTAAAATAAAATAAATTACATTTTACAAGTGTACAAATTGCATTTACTAATTACAATTTACAATTACAAGAAATAAGACATTAAAGAGCAATGCACACAGAGCTGTGTACAGTCAGTTCTCACCAACTCCTTTGACTTTGCTAAATGTGTTTCATATTTATTTATCTTCTATTATTATTGTTATTATCATTATTGTTATTATGATTTGAGTTTTCACCTTACTTTGTGACACCTTCCCAATGCCACTTTGCTTTGGAAATTTGTGTTAATTAATTTCAAACTCTTTGATTTTGGGAGCAAACAAAGCCGCCGAGGCTTTTCGCTGTCACGTGCGCTCGTTCGCGTTGTTGCTATTATTTATTCATTATTTGTTGTTTTGTTTTTTGTGTGTGTTTTTTTGTTTGTTTTTTTGTTGTTGTTTTTGTTGTTGTTTTTTTTTTTATCCATTATTGCTCAGTAGATTCTTCCCATCCCTCCTCCCACCCTCCTCCAGCCACAGATGGTGCAGCAGGTGCAAATGCCACTGATAATGCAAATGCCAGCTTAGTCAATGGTACGTCACAACCCCCGGCTTGTCTGATTTGATGGATTTCTCTCCTGACTGTGTCAAATTCCCTCTCCCCTCGCTGACCTGCACAGATGTTGTGTGTGTGTGTGACTCTGAGAGATCCTGCTCCACACGCTCTGCAGGAGCTTGCCAGAGGGGCCACAGGGATGCTGCAGCCTCTCTCCCACAGAATCCAGCCTGGCAGGGCTGGCGTTTGCAATCTTGACCCATTTAAAACCCCAGTTAAAAGGAGCCAGCTGCAAAACTTTTGGGTAGTTTCACCCAAAGTTTCATTATGAGGCTTCATTATTCAGCATAGATCTGGAGAGGAGGAAAAGGATTCTCTCTGCTTCTCCTCTTTTTCACTCTCAATTCCTCACACGGTTCTGAGGGAGGGCTGGGGTCAGGGATCTGCCTCCATTCAACCAACACTCTGTTAGGGACAACCTCTGCTGCTTTCAGCATCTGTTTTGGGGGGAATGAGAAGTTTTGTGGATATTTGTGTGAGCCCTCAGCAATCTTCTCCTGAGCTGTGTTAACTAAACCCAAAGCAAACCATTCCTTCAGGCAGTTTTGACTGTGTCCCAGTACAGATTCCCCACTTGTTAGCACACAGGTATTTCAGTGTTGCTCCTAACACTCAAATTCCAGTGTTAAATTGGATGTAATGGGTCAATATTAGTGTAGGCATCAGATGTCTTTTGCTGCTAATCAGATACATGAGCCTTTATTTGCCAAGCAACCTTTCCTTCTTGTGCAGTGCCAAAATTACCTAGTAAAGTCATTCTGCTTTTCATCATGTTGGTGAAAGAAGTTTGTTTTCCATTCAGGTTGCATTTCACATGAGAAATGAGAGTTTCTGACAGCAATGTCAAGTGCTAAACAAGGACCAGGATTTACTGCTGTAAGATCATATCTAAAACAGTGACACACAGGCAATCTTTGAGCCTATTTTCAAATCATTTGAAAGAAACATATAACCAGATTCAAAACCCATTCTGGAAAACTAGGAATTACAGTCCCTGCATCTCCTTGCATGGCAGGGACCTCCAGCATCCTGGTTCCAGATTCCTTAGAGACCAAGAACCAGGGAATGAATTATAAGTGTTTTATTCTCCCTTAATGTGAGGGTGCTGAGGTCCTGGCACTGAGCAGCCGTGGCTGCCCCAAATCCCTGGCAGTGCCCAAGGCCAGGCTGGACAGGGCTTGGAGCAGCCTGGGATAGGGGAAGGTGTCCCTGCCATGGCACTGGATGGGCTTTAAGGTTTGTTCCAACTGAAACCATTCTGTGATAATTCCACTTTGGGGAGTGTTAAACAAACAAACAAACTCCCCTCCAGTCCCACTGGATCCTCAGCACTCCTGCTCATCCCTGCCAGCTGCCCAGGAGGGGTGGGAGCAGAGATCAGCCCCTCTTTGCTGGTGCTCAGCAGGTGCAGGAGGAGCCCTGTGCTGCTCCCTGGGCTCTGGTAAATCCCTGTTGTCTTTGGGCTCTAATGCTGAGCTTAATGAGGAAATTGAGTTCCAGGGGATATTAGATCAGTGTCGGAATTAGGGATGTGATTTTCCATCATCCTCTCTCCAGTCAGGAACAACAGTTACTGTCCCTGTTTATCCTGGAGCTGAGAGATACAAACTCAGGGCTTTGCAGTGAGGAGTGAATTTTCTTTTGTGCAGTTTGGGATGTTTTGGATTTGAGCTCCCCTGAGATGAGGCAGTTCAACATTTCTGCTGGTCTTTAACCAACATGGGCAGGAGAGGCTTTCCACAATTCAGCTGCTCAGAGAACTCAGGCAGACTTAGGTCTGAGTGCTTTGGAATTATCTGGGAAATGGCCAATGGCAGATTTCTGGTCATTTCTCAGCACTGATGATGAATTAAATACCTAAAATGTGGATTTGGTTTGGAGGGGAGAAAGGAAAGAGCGAGTAAGTTACAAAGCAAGGAGCCCAAATTCATCTACATATTCTTTTGGTCTGGATGAAATGAATATTTTTTTAAAGTCTGAAAATTCTTCCTGAGATATGACTGGAAACAGGAATTTTACCTGAAGTCTAATACTTTTGTGTAGAAAATATCTTAAAATAAGAAAAAAATAATTGCATACTTCAGTAAGTAACAAGCTCAGGAAATGTTGTTGCTTGAAAGTCAAACAATTAAATTTCAGATAAAATATTTTTATTCTTAATTGTCAATACACAATTGGCACAAAAGAAAGAGCTGGTGAGCCTGTAGTGATAAATTAATTTCTTTTGTGATCCAGCCTGTGTATTATGTGCTGTACCAAAGGAACTCCCATAACTTCTGTGGAGTTTTAGGAGTTGAAATCAAAATAGAGAATTATTGTTGATCTCATTGTCAGAACTATGGACACTGTGTTCAGTTTCTGAAAGGTTGTGAGTTAAGGCCATAAACAGAGCAGAAAATTTTGCAGAAAGGAAAGGAATTCAGGAAAATTCATCTCATTGCCAAGTATTATATTTAGTAAAGGTAATTTTAAAGAATGAAAATCAGGGAAGCAGCAATCACTGTTTACAGCTTGTTTACCCCAAATCTGATTTCCTTCTAGTAGAGCAAATTACCCCAAATTTGATTTCCTTCCAGTAGAGCACTGCTACCTTCCTACATCAGGATTTCCAGGGTGGGTTGTTGGGCTTTTTTTGGCATTAGTAACCCAGAGAATTTGCTACTTAAATGTGTATTTAGAAAATATAGAAAAGGTATAGAAATGGCTTATACAAATCTCTGCTGGAATATTTCACATCTATTCTTAATCCTGTTGTATTTACTGAGCTACTTCCCTTTCTGCAAAGCAATTTGCAGTTTGAATGAGTTTTTAAATATTATTTTTCTACATTTAATAAGTTTCTGAATTGTAAGTGAAGTTATTTATGCATAGAAGAATTATCTAAAACATCCTATTTAATGGAGTGATTCCCTCTCAGCGCTCAAGCACAACTCTGTTATTTTCTTTGGTTGATTCCAAGCAGTTCTTCCAATTTAGAAATAATTTCCAAATGAGGGAAATAATTTCCAAAATAGTGATAGGACTTTGTTATTCCATGTCATTGGCTCTCCCTCAAGGGCTGCAGCAGGAAAAGGGGAGGCTTTTCTTGGGAATTTTATTTGGTGAAATCCATGACTTTTATAGTAAGAATTTTGTCAGTAAAGATGCCACGAGTCCTTTCTAAAACACAGGAATTGTACTGAGGCAACGGCATGCAAAAAATATTTATATTTAAATTCAGAACTTTCAAATCAGCTGCAGAATGCAGGTGTTGTGAGAAATGCTCTTCTAAACTTTCTGATTTTTCATCCTTGCTTAGAAAAGTGCTAAAAAACTCAGGTGGATTTCTCCAGCCCAAACATTTATTTTATTTATTATTCCAAACAGAAAAGAAGAAAATATTTTCAGAATTATGTAAAAAAAATATATATTTGTAAAGAATCATTTCACCATTATGCTATCAAAATATTAATAAATACCCATCCTTTTGATGATTCTAAACAATGCACCGAGGACAGAAGGATGGGGGAATATTTGTAGCTGCAAGGAGGAAGGATCTCTCAGCAGTGGTGATTCTATCACCTTTCTTTCTGCCTTAATTTCCTTGTTCATACTTTGTAGCAAAGTGCAGCCTTAAGACTATTTGGCACAGGATGATATAAATAGTTTACATCTTCCTTTTCTTTACCTTGATTACCCAAATTACCTTTTCTTTGTTATTCTGTCTAAATAACTGAAGTGTAACTATCCTTCGTGACTTCCCTCACTCAACAACCTGAATGCAGTAGATTAAGAATATTAAGAATGTATTTTTTTACATACTTGAGTTCAAACTGTTGTTAATGATTGTTTATTTTGTGTACTGCTGTTTTCAGGTAGCCAGTCATTTGTTAGTGTATTTTATTATGATAATTATGCTATTAAATAACAAATATATGTCCTAAAACTGCATATTTTAATTTACAAAGAAAAAATAATCTCTGTGATGTGTATGCCAGTGGGGACAGTCACGTTTGGGCTTTGTTGGTGATTTTTATCTTTGTGAAAGTTGAATATTGTTCAGTTTTTATGCCACTGCAAGGTTTGGAATTGCACTCTGCAAAAGGATCTCTAGAGCAGGAAATAGAGCAGACTGCCTGCTCTAAATTAATGCCTTCCAGTTCTTAGGGAAGGCTTCATGCTCCAGCCAGAAATCCCAATCTCCAGAGATATTTTATGTCTTCCAGTAACTTTATTAAAAGCCTTTCTAAGAAAAACAGCCACCAGGCAGGTACTGAGTCCAACTCTACCCCACAGGCAAAGGTTTTATAGGGAATTTCACCATGAAAATGAGCTTGGTTTTGCTCAGGTTCATGGATTCATCTCTTGTGCAAAGCTCTGGAAGGTGGATTCTGAATTTTTAAAAGTCCTGTTATTGCCAGGGTGGGAATAGAATTAGAAACAGAGACAAGCTGATGGTCAGTGTTTTATTGCAGTAATTCACCTGAGCACTGAGATGATTTTAGGTCACGAGATGTCCTTTCCCTGGCTCTGCTTCTGGCTTTTGGAATTTCCCAATGGTAAAATTCTGGGCCTATTTTTGACCTACAAGACTGGTTTGGTCACTTTCGCTCTCCCACTTGTGCAAAGACCAACATGCAAGCGATGCACCTTAGCTTTTCCATTTTGTTATTTTTAATTCACAGCAGAGTGAAAAAATGAATCCACACAGCAGTCAGAAGAGCAAGATGTAGCTGCTGGGACATTTTTTAATAAATTCTGATGATACATTTCTTATTTGAATGTGTCAACAATCCTGTAACGGTGTTTAAGCTGAATTTTCCTTAGCATCCTTTTTTATTGTGCATTTTACATAACTACCAAAAGACACTGTCATCCATTCTGAAGTAATATTTGTTACAGTCTTTTCCATAAATGCATATAATTACTGTGAAAGTTTCATAAGGGATCCCACCAAGAAATTTTGAATACATTTGAAAACATTTCGTTGTTATTGTAAATACCAAAGTTTTGTATGTGATTTGTGCATTTTGCCATTTTTATCTCACACACACTTTCAAATGACACTTCCCATTAAAAAAGGCACAAAGGAATAAGGATTTTGCTGTGGTAAAACTGGTTGTGAATAAAATGTCAAGCTGGAAATTAAAGAGGCACTTGGTAAATCTATGTTCAGGATAAATCTGAATTTAGGTCACCTGGCACTTGTATTTCCAGAAGAAATTTGCTAATTAGTGCAACCAAGTGAGGAAGACGTAATTTAAAAATCCCATCTGATTTACATTTTTATTTATTTATTTAGATTTATTAACAGTATTGTTTCTATTTTTTCCTAATTAATAAGATGATTAATTTAATTCTGGAATACATTAAGAAAGTCATATCGGTGTGTGCCAGAGTTTTTAAGTCCCAGCCCTCTGAAAAGTCAGCTCAGGACTATTATTCCCCTTCATCTTTCCACCAGGTCCACTTTATTAGTTTCCCCCTCTGAATTTATGCAGATTCCTCACAAACACGTGCTGATATTTAGCATTTCAGGTGGCTGGAACTCCTTGGATGTGCCCAGCTGGGTTGGCCCCTCCTGTGAGTGCAGGTGTGAGGGCAGGGGATGGTGCCCAGTGCCCGTGATGTGCTCATGGCTTTTGTCTCCCATTGATAGAAATTCCCATTTTCGTGTTCTGTCTCGGCTGAAGGTTGTTTACTGTCTGTTGTCTGTTGGAATTTTTCATCATTTAGGCAAGATGCAGGATGGGAATATGGAGAACAACCAGAACAAAGGTAATGTTCTTTCCTATTCAGGAGGTTGTGGATTGTATTGTTAGCATGTAGTTCAATCCTGTCCCAAAGTACAGTGAGAACCTGTGATCTGTGCCTGTGTGTGAAACTGGCCCTTATTGTTCATGCAGAATGTCCCAAAAAACCCCAACCAAAAACCCACCAAAGAGATTGGAACTTCCACAGGTTGCAGAGATTTAGGAGAGGAGTGTTTTGAATGAACCATTTCTAGATGTCGCTTCCATCTCACAAAGCTCATTTGAATTAATTTTTCCTGTGCAAGTTGTGTATCCCACATATTGTTAGTGATTTTCCAGCCCAGTTTTTTTATGTCTCATCATCTCTGGTGTCTGATGGCATTGTCTGGACATCTCTTCATTTGCAGGGAAAAGGCAAAGCAATAAAAAAAGGAAAGCTTAAAGCCAGGGTGTTATGTAGCAGTGTAAAAGCCTTTTATAAGGATAAACAACAGGAAGATTGAGCATCTTAGGAGCTTCTTATTTAATATACAATGTCAGGAAGAAATTGGAATCAATATTTTGCTTTCTCTGAAGCAAAGTCATGGTTCCCTTTTTATTATAAGACACAGCTATCAAGAGCTCTTTGGGTTATACCAAATTAAATGATAATTTTCTCTTCTCAGATAATATTGAACGTTGCAAAGGTGACGGCTCAGAAACTGAATAGAGAAACTCAGTGGTTCATGGCACAAAAGTACCAAATAAAACTCTATTAAATAATAAGCATTCAGGCTAGGTAGATAAATTAGATTTCTAGGTCAAACAAGCACGGTCTTGTACAGTCTCTTCATGAAAGCAAAGCTGTTCCATCTCATCCTATTTTATTTATTGTGCTCAGTACAAACCAGACATGCACATATATCCACTGCAATGTCATTGCCTTTCAGAAACACGCAAAAATAAAGTTTCCCTCTGTTGGCATTCTGTCAGGAGAGGAGGGATGAGCCCTGAAACTGTGTGTGGTTCTGGTGGGGGAATGGTGATGCCACCACCATCAGACCCAAGGGCTGAGTAACCCGGTCACAGAATGCTGAGGAAACTTTATAGCTCTGGGATTTTCTGGAATGGTGGGTGGCAGAGTGTGGTCCCTGGTCACCCATCTCACTGCAGCCCAGGGAGGTGACACATGGGCCATCTCTGCAGCCTCACTGCCTTCAAAATGTTTGCATTGGGAATGTGATTATGTGGGGACATTGCATTCTAAGAGACATCCCAAAATTCAGGGAAATACGGATCTGTCAGAGCACCTAGGCTCTGCTGTTCCAGGGAATCCTGCAGGGCTGGTGCTGCCACCTGCCCAGTCACGTGCAAGGCATTCAGTGGCATACATGTGTATGGCCCAGAGCATCATGGCTGGGGGAAGTATGAGGGATAAACCCAACCAGTGGTTTTCCAGCCCAAATCCCCACCTGAGGGATGTGCTGGCACAGCTGTGTCCTGCAGAGCCCCACTGGGTCTCCAGGGCCTGGCACGGGAGCCAAGGGTGTCCCAGGCAGCCCCTGTGATGCTGGCTGGATTCAGAGAGGATGAAGATGGAGAAAAGGAAGGGATAAAGCTCTGGAGTAATAATTTTGTTCTGCATTATCAGCCAAGCAGCAGGATGGGGCTGCTGCCATGGAGATGCAGCCGCTGAAGAGCGCAGAAGGGGGAGAGGGAGACGACAAGGACAAGAAGAAATCCAACATGCACAAGAAAGAAAAATCCGTCCTTCAGGGAAAGCTGACCAAGCTGGCAGTGCAGATTGGCAAAGCAGGTATGGCTGGGTGACACCAAATCCCTCTGGGTCACAGGAGACAAAGAGCTGCAAAACAAATGGTTCTGAAAAGGGACAGGTCTTTTTTTACCGCAGGATTTGGAAATGGGTCATCACAAAGCTGTTCTGTGGAGAGTATGTGGTGCTGAAGATCTTTTATTCTCCCAAAAATCAGCTTTGACTGTCAAGGAGCTTTGGGCAACTTGGATTGTAATGAATATTTGAATCAAAATGAAATGCAGATTTTCTCAGAGTTAATATTCCCAAGTGCAGTAATTACGTATTTAATTTTCTCTCCCCTCAGAACTTGGGAGTACACTGTTTCAGAATCTCTAATACCATCTCAAAATATCACTCACACAGTATTTCCCTCTCATGGATTCTGAAAGCATTCTGTTCTCCCCAAATCTCCCCGTTCCTGCCTCAAGCATGACACATCTTTTGACTCCTGTATCCAGAACCATCTGGCCCCTGGTGCTGGAAGCAGCACTTCTCCAACACGTAGGTAGAGAGTGGGAATCTTCCATAAGGGCCCAAGTTCCTTAGGTTTGGTTTTCTCGTGGTATTAACAGGGATTTTGATCTCAGCTCCTTGGCTGAGGCCCTACAATATCCCTTTCCTGCTGTTCTGTCTCCCTCAGCCTTCTTCCCCAGTCTGGTTTCTCCCCTTCCCATCCCTTTTTAAGCTCATCACAGGAGCTGATCACATAACCCCATGATTCCAATTCCCTTTGCCTCAACAGAGTGTGACCAAATCTGGGATTACCATCCCTGATATCCAATTTAACGCCTTGCCCCAATTCATATTGCTCCAGCTTCTCTCCTTTCTTTCCCCTGATGATTAATTCCTTGGATCAAATACTTCCTGCACTGCCTTGACTTCTGCTCTCTTTGGTATTTTGGCAGGCACGTGCACATCACTCTTAAAGTGATCATGTAGGGATTTCTGACCAGAATGTGGCAAGGAACAGGAATTAAATTAATTAATCATTGCCTCATTTGGTTTTTCTTTGCCATTGAGCAATCTATGGGGATGTGTTGCATTGTCAGGAGTATTTGCCTGTACAATATTTTAATAGATTTTCCTTTATCCTCTGGTACAAACTGATCTCCCTGACTCATCTGTTTCCTGTCAACCTTAGCACCCTTCAGCTTTACCAATTTTTTTAAAACTTCAGTCAAGACATGAGATTCACAGCATTCTTCTTCTAGTCTATGATCTCATTAGGGAGAAATTAATTTATTCCGAAATGCAGGCTTAACTGCTTCACACAAACCTGCCAAACAGGGCTGGCCAGAGCAAGGCAAAGCTGAGGCTATAATGGGAATTTTATTTAAATACTCAAACCCAGGGACAAAACTGTGGAGCAGGAGTGCTATCCCAGCAGTCTGTGGCACTGGGAGAATGGATGGAATGCTTGGAATATTCTGTCAACTCTGTGTGGAATATTTATTGGTGTCTCTGTCTCTTTGGAACCTCTGCTCATGAAAATACACACTCTGCAGATGTTCCATTGAAGAGGGACACCTTGAAAACACCAGTATTAGTCACATTTTAATGAAACCCAATGAAAAAGTGTCCTGTGCATAATTCTGCATTATTGCCTCTTTATATTCACCCAGACACATCTGTGGGGCTTTTCTACAGTATTTTATACAGCAGCATAAACTATGAGAGACTCCTTTCCTCAAGCCTCTAAAGATATACTTATTTAGAAGAAAGGTCTTTAAATATGGATAGACAAGTAATTTGTAAAAGGTGAGGGTTTAAAGGACAGATAAATGTTGTACCAGGCAAAGTAATGTGCTAAATTGAATAAGTTCAGCTTAAGTGACAGCAAAACTCCTGCACTGCCTGGGAAGTTTTAAAGGCAGCAATAAATGCTTAAAAATGAATTCCCTAGAATTTCTTGTGCACTGGAATGTATGATTGCTGTAAATACATGATGGCAATGTTTTTTCTTCACTGTACACTTTGTCATTGTTATTGGTACTGGTGAAAAAAGTCACAAAGAAAAAATAATTTCCTATCAAATCCAAATTTCTAATTGCTCGTGTCCTCAGTGCTGTTTGGGTTTATGTTAACTGGTGATTTCTCCCCCCAGGTCTGGTGATGTCTGCCATCACTGTCATCATCTTGGTACTGTATTTTGCCATTGACACCTTCGTGGTCAACAAGAAGCAGTGGTTGCCTGAGTGCACTCCTGTCTACGTTCAGTATTTTGTTAAATTCTTCATTATTGGTGTTACTGTGCTCGTGGTTGCTGTTCCTGAGGGACTCCCACTTGCTGTCACTATTTCTCTGGCTTATTCTGTAAAGGTAAGAGACATTCAAAATAATCCAGGGAGAAAAGTGCTGTTTGATTGAATTCACTACTGAGTTGGTCCTTGGGTTTTATCAGATGGGATGAAAAACACTCTGAAAATAATGTGCTCAAAATGTTCATGAAATTGCTTTAAAGAAAACTTATATTGAAAGTATTTCTAAAAAACCTGCAAATATATCTTCCATCACATCTCCTTAAAGCTGCACAGTGCAGGAATATCTAGCAGTAGAAATAACCTACTTAATTTGCAAGGAACCAGGAATTTATTGAGCAGAATGTACTTTGAAAATAGTCCAGTCTTTTGATATAAAATAATTTCGTATTCAAATTTTCTTGTGCGATTGTACAAAGTTTTGACAAGGATTTGAAGTCTTCAGGAACACTTCTCAGAGAAATTGGAGTTTCTCAAAGAAATTAAGAGTTTCACTGACGCTTTCATGTACTTTTCTTAAATGCATTTGCAGTTCTTTGAAGTCCATGTAATTGGTTCTATTAGGAAATTAAAGAGGATTAACATCCTGGACTTGGGGATTACTAGAGCAATTTGATCAGATGATTTAAACGTTCTGGGAATTTTAGATGAAGATGGTGTAAAGTTTATTTCCATTTAGCATGCAAACAAATTAATTTAGGAAGCTTAGGAAGGAATCTCTTGGCTTCTGTGTAGCCAAATGTCACAATTATTGGGAAAAAGGAACAAGTCTCAAAGATGGGGTTTTGCTAATAAAGAATGCGGCTGCTTTGAAATTGTTTCCTCATTCTCCTGGTGTCCTTTCTCTGACACCCTTTTTCTTTTCCCTTTCTCTTTCCCTTTCACTTTTCCCCCAAAACTTGTGGTCTATTTGCATGCTGCCAGATAATATCCTGGCATTCCAAGCAGTGCTAAGAAAAAAACCCCAAATGTTTGCTATAACGATCATGTTTAAAAACTGCTGTTATCTCTGGTTACTTTAGCTCACCTTTGCTCTTCCAGCTGTTCCTTAAAATTCAAACCTGCTGCAGGAAAATGAGGCAACTCTTTCAGTTTATCAAAGGCAAAAAATGACCTCAGGGTCTGTAACTTTGGGGTTTTTGGGCCCCAGAAAAGCTCTGGTTTAGAGAACACCGCGTTCTCACCAGCAAAACCAACCGTGGGCCGCTTTGCTATTTACGACTGAAATCCAGCCTCGAAGGGTTCATTTTTTGTCTTTTTGGTGGCTTCTCCCCTCAGAAAATGATGAGGGATAACAACCTGGTGCGGCACCTGGACGCCTGCGAGACCATGGGCAACGCCACGGCCATCTGCTCGGACAAGACGGGCACGCTGACCACCAACCGCATGACCGTGGTGCAGGCCTACGTGGGCGACGTCCACTACAAGGAGATCCCCGACCCCGACTCCATCCCTGCCAAAACCATGGAACTGCTGGTCAATGCAATTGCCATCAACAGCGCTTACACTACAAAAATTCTGGTGAGAAAGTGATTTTTGGTTGGTTTTATTTTCGGTCAGCTGAGTGAGGCCTAGCTGAAGGAGGTGCAATTTCTTTATTTTATTTTATTTATTTTTTTTTTTTGAGAAGTTTTTTAACATCTTGTTGTTGATTATGGAGCATTAAATACCGTTGAGGTCCTCAAAATGAGAATAGGTGCTCTAAAATCTCTATATTTTATTGTTTTTTTTCAAGGACAGGAATGCTTTTAAGAGTACAAGACCATGAGACATTTAAAAAACTGCTGTCATTAGATTGGGGTGGCCCAGTTTTGGTGCAGCTAAATTTGGGAACACAAATGTGTGGTAAAATATCAGGTTTTCACTGAGCCTTCATATGTGCAAAATGATTTTTGTGTGTCTAAGAAATTTCAATTAATGCTCAAAGAGCACAAATTGGATTGGTTAAATCAGCGAGATTAATGACCTTTATTCATTCTGGTTTCAAGTGAGTTACGTCCTGAAGTGTTTTATTCACTCTGTACAGGAGGCCAGAATGGAAATTCCCTGTTTGCTTGTAGCATTGGATTCTTCTGTACAGAGCTAATTAAGAGACTGCAGTTTTTTGCAGTTCCAATAGATTTGTTCTTTGAAAGGTCAAGCTGAATGTTAATGTTGCTGAACAAATAGATTTTTTTCTTTTTAGTTTATGAATGTAAGTATTGTCATTTTTATAGGTCTGGAGAATAAAGTCAGGCATGTAGTTCATGTTTGTTTTAAAAGTGTTCTTTTAAAATTCAATCAGAGAAAACAAATACTGTGTGCTAACTCAGAGTGGATGTTTTATGGCAGCAGCTCCTTGAATTTCATTTGTGCACTTCTAAACCAGCAAGAACAGTTTGCTGTTACTGGGTAATTCCTGCTCTCACAAATCAATGTAACATTTGATTGCTGGGGAGAAAGAAATACACCTTGGTAATTTAAATGTTGTTACAGCCTAAATCAGCTTAGGTGCTTCCTCCTGGAGAAGGAGAACGAAACACCCTGAAATACCCAGGATTAAGACAGGGCACGGAATTTGACTTTGGGAAGGTTTTGGGAGAGCATTCCCAGAGTCAGCAGAATTTTGCTCCTTCCCAGGGAGCAGCAGGGCAGGCAGGGGGATGGTTCTTCAGTCAGGTGTGACTGGCAGAGGCTTAGACAGAGTTTTATATTTTGCTGTTCATTTTGAGGTCAAAGCCAGTACCAAAGTGTTTCTGCCCAGCTTCCACACCAGTTCACCCTCTCTGAATCCCAGAGTAAATGGGAAATCATCAGACTTTCCATCTACATCTGCAATATTAAGTTTAATAATCTTTTCCTTGTGGTTTACTGAAACATTTCATTTTCTAAAATGATCTCAATATAATTTCTATTTTTTTTTTGTTTGTTTTTTACTCTGACTTGGCTTCATTGCTCCTTGTTGGAATTAGTTTTTTGTGCCCATTAAAAAGAGCCAATATTTCACCATTTCAGTGCTTTTTTAGCTTTGCACAGTGACAGATTCTAAACTGATAAAGGGGTGAAATCCTCTGGATGCAGATCAGTGACTGCTTGAACTTATCTGTTTAAAATTAATGGTGACATTTTAGATCTTTTGAGCTAAATCTTTGCAGTATGGTTTCCACGAGAACAGCAGCTCCAATCTCAGGGGATTTCATTTTATTCACAGTTTATAACAAGCTGAAGCTGAACTTTAAGATACAAGATATTGTTCCGTAGCCCATTTTACATCCCAGATAAATACAGTAAAAAATACCTGAGGGGGTTGTTTCCAGGATAAATATACAGGATTATTTTCCTTCCTGCTAATACAGAATGCTTGTGTGCTGTGTTTAATCAAATTGTGAATATCAGCTGAAGCCCAAAGGGCATTGTAAGGGTTCTGTCGCCAAGATTGAGTTTTGCATATTCTATTTTTAGCTCTCCAGCTACGTGTGTGCTGTAAATTGCTCTTTGTGTGAACTTCTGTTCAGAGGGATCACATATGGGACCATAAAATTAGTCAAGATGCTCGGCTGAATGAGAAATATTCCCTCTTGCATTGTCTTTTGATTAAGGAGCAATTGAACCATTGATAAAAATATAAAAAGGGAATAATATCAGTGCTTGGCATAAAAGATTTGAATTTCCCTGAGAAATTAAACACAAATTATTCCAACTGAACAATAGCATCATTAAATATAGCTCTTTTTACTGCTTTCCAAGATTAGGTTGCTGGGTGAGCTGGTTTTGCATCCCTTTAGCTCCAGAGCAACTTTTCTGCTGTTTGTGTGAAGCTGTTCTCCAGCAAACCTTTCTGTTCAGTGTCCCTGTTTCCACATGGAAATAAAACCAGGCTTTGTACATTTTTGCCTCTGAGCTGTGATGGGGACTGCAAAGACTCTCACTCTGAGAGCAAAATTTGCATTTTGTGAATACTTTGATTGCACTTGGAGCTGGAGCACATTGATCATGGATATCAGGGAGCAGTGATGAAACAGAGACTCCAAACACTGAAACCATTAATGCAAAAAAGAGTTCTGATTTGAACTTTTCTGTGCAGCTCTCGCTTTCATAATTTCAGGTTTAATTAGAAAGGTGTTTCTGCTTTTAATTTCCTGGCTGGGTGTGATTCCTGCTGGCTGGGTGTGATGTGCCTGATTAAGAAGACACCACAATCAGGGTTTAGCTGAGGGATTTTCAGCACCAGTGGAAAAGTCCCAGCTGGAGCTGTAATTGTGAGGATCTAACACCGACTTTTCATTCACTGCTGGATGGGTGCTGAGGGATAAAAAGCTCTTTTTGCCTGTGCTGGGTGAATATCTGGAATTCCAGGAGGAGTTTCCAGGGCTGTTCTGGCGGTGATTTGGTGCAGTGGCACAGGGCACAGCAGGATGTGGTGGCAAACCTTGAACCGAAGGAGGAGATGTTACAGTGAAGCACAAAACATTCACCCACTTCCACATTCACTCCCTTTTCCCAGGGGAAATAAAATAAAAATATGTTGGTCCATATGTTAGTAAATATTCATCAAGTTCTGGATGTGAGCTGGGAAAGCTTTTGGGACAAAAAGGCCGTTGTTGGATAAAACCTAAAGGAGAAAATGCAATAAACCACAAAGGGTACAGACAATTTTATTGCAGCTGAAAGGCAGAGCAGGTAGATAACAATATATGAGACACCTATAAAATATAGAAGCCATGAGAAGCAAGGACATTCAAAAGTGAAACAGTGAAAGGACAGGAAATAAGATTTTAGCACAATCTTTAGCACAAAAATTTAGACTGCTTTGCAAGAATCAATGCAAATCTATTGCTGGCACTGGGGACATGGATGTGGTAGCCAGGTAAAAGTTCTTTTTATTTGGGAGAATATATTTGCATCCCAAGCAAGAGCAGCTCTCTGATTGCTGGGAGACACAATGTTCCTGTCAGGAACAGCCTTTGAGAAGATGTGCAAAGTCCAAAAAATGCTTCTTTCTTTCAGATTTATTTATATTTTATTCAAAGGCTGAATTTTATTAATCAAATACTTGAATTTGACTTTTTAAAATTTGTTTAATCAGATTTTTAAAAATTGTCTCAATAATTACATATGTATGTGTTATTTAGCCAACAGAAAATTCCTGGCATTTCCTTTTACCATTCATAATTCAAGAAATTTTAATATGGTAAGGCCTTCCTAAAAAATCAGAACAAAAACTTTTAACTTTTTGGGGGAATATGGATATTTGGAAGTTTCCTACCAAATACTTTTGAAATTTGAGGTGTAGTAGGTGTTTTTATGGATTTTTCCATACATTTCCCCACATTATGATGTAAACTCATTGGTGATGCAAAGCAGGATTGAAATGTCACTTTTTTGTGGTTGCTTGTGGCTCCCTAATTCTCATCTGACAGATAATAGACCTTTCCTTTATCTAGCTACCTTTATTTATAAATATCTGGATTATTTATATTTTTATTTTTATTTTTATTTTTATTTTTACTTTTATTTTTATTTTTATTTTTATTTTTATATCTATAGTTATATTTATATCTATATTTATATTTATATCTATATTTATATTTATATCTATAGTTATATTTATATCTATATTTATATTTATATATTTAATTTTTTTTAATGTGTCTCTGTATTTATTTGAAGTTTTGCTTTGCAAATGGAAAGGAAGAAGGAGACCCTGACTGTTTAGGAAAGGCTTTTTTTAGTTTCATTCTTACAAAAGGTGAAGGCCCAACAGATCAGATTAGGCCACACCTATCAAGAGAAAATCAGGGAATTTCTGTGGCCTGAGGGTACAGCAGCAGAGCTGTCTGCCAGGGGCTCTCTGCTAAATGAAACTGCTGTTATATGTCACTAGAATTCCCTTTTTTATTCCAAGGAGAACCACAAGAAAGCAGCTTTTGACCTCCAAACTGCCTTTTTGAGTTATTTTGGCATATGGAATTGCAGAGATATTTTTATTCTCAGGTATTGCTTACAACCTATTCTCAAGCTCTTTGTTTCTTGTGTTGAATTAAAGATGATTTTCCCATTTATTTTTGCTGCACAGGAAGGTTCAAGCCATCTCTTATTTCATCCAGCTTAGTTCCCCTATTGCTGCTAAAAATGAGTAAAATAAATACTTTAAAAAAAATCCCTACAGACACAAAATATGAGAACAGAAATGGGCACAGAAGTGGTAAAAAGGAAATTAATGAGCATAGATTGAGGAAATCTTTCATTTATAATAACTTAAATGACAACAGTAACCAACATGGCTTAAATCCTGATTTTTCCTTCTGTATTTCCCTGCCACTGATATCAAGGCACAAATGGCAGCTTCAGCTGTTGATTTGAAGTCTCTTGGGGAAAAAAATAAACAAAAATAAATCTGTCATTTATCAGGTGGTCAAGTGTCCAGTCCAGGCTGACCTGCCTGGGCCAGAGCTTTGGGAGAAAAGAGATGGTGGGGAAAGGAGTGAGAACCACAAAAAGAGTTACAGGGAGGGGAAATGGAGTGGGGAGAGGGAAAACTG